AAAGTAATATTAAATAATTATACTTATTTTATAATACAAAAACAGAGCATGAATCAATCATGGTTTCAGCTATTTTTAAATTTGCCCAGACCAACAACCGGCTCGAATCTGTCCATACACTCGACACCCACCACTAAGGACATTCTCCCATTATTATAATATACTCAAGGTAAAACGAAACTACGATAGATAGGTAAGTACGTTGTTTGCTGCATGCACAACGGATACAGGATTGAAATAATAATAATGGATGTAGAATATGTTTACAATGAAAATCCATTCGCAATCGAACGAGTATTATGTAACTGATGAGTGCGAAATTTCGTTCGTCGTATTTCGTGTTATTATTGATCGGTCGATATAACGCACAAAATACGACCAATGTAGATAGCAAGAAAACGAAAACAAACAAAGACTGTTTGCACTTGCGTCACGCATCTCATCATCAACTTCGTTCAACCTACTTTATAGTTAAAACAAAATTCGTAAGTGTCACACACAACGTTACTTACTGGCCAGACAAAACAGTGAAAACGGAACGAGACAAGGCGATAATAAGTTAAACAATACACGAATTTTACACGTAGGTCACATTAAAAAAAACATTGTCCCTACTTATATTAACACTAATTAACTACCCTAATTACTTAAAATTAAGGACATACTACGAACAAGATATGCTGTCACTTTGAATCTACTTTGAATATAAAATTCATAATTAGTAGACAATTTATGAACTAGCAAATACATTTACGTAACTTTTACAATAAATATTACTCCCTCCGTTCCAAAATAAATGTTCAATTTCATAAAGTGTATTTTCACAACTAAACTATAACATAAAATGGAAAAATTAACACTTATGAGTGCTACTTGAATAGCGAGTTCCCAAACAAACAGTTTGTCCTTGTTCCTGTGAGGAAGCTTGTAATCATTGCCTTCTTCGTTGTCAATTCAATTATATTTGTTGGGTAGTTTTTGCCATGACTACCGTAATAATTAACCTTAAACACATTTTCAGCGGTTAAAAAAACAAACTAACAATTGTTACAAAATTGTACTAATTCACTTCAAAAAAACTATTTTGAAAAACGTTCAAATTTCATGCGGCTATTAGGTTCACTTTTTCCGTGCTTAATTTAAATAAATCACTAAAAAAGTATTATTAACATATTAAATATATACAATATATTACATACATTATCAAAATATTGCAGAATTCAATAAAGTAATGTCAATAAACACTAGCACATAGGTAGACTTATTAATATAATGATACATAAATATTAGTTATTGTGCATAATTTAATTAAAGAATAATATCCATGTTATAATAATCTGCAAATATGATAGATCACAATGCGAATAAAAAAAAAGCTTGTTTACTAAAATTGTGGCATGGTATTTTATGCATTATTTTATCAATTATTTTAATCGAAAACATCAATTACTGTAAATTTACTAACCGTATTTTTTTTTTAATTATTCGAGCATAGATAAGGATAACGTGACAAGGCGTCGAGCAATTCCAGGAATATAATTTTATGCTTTTATTTATAACATGCGTCAATAATTTCACAAATATAGTAGAAATTGGTTTAAGTATTTTCTATAACTTTCACATTTAAACATACTATATATATATATTTGCTATATATATAATATTTATTACAATTTTTACATGTATTTTTTAAATATAAAAACAATATTATTTCTTTTAACTTTCCAAGAATTTCATTCAAATCACTTGATCATTACCCAAGAATGCTTGGCAAGCGGCGCCGTTTCGTTAAACACGACTGCCGCCCCCAATGAAGAGTCATAACGGGATTTTGTGTTGCTGCACAATTCAAACACGTACGTTAAAGCACTTTAAATAGTAATTAATTGCGCTTTTGGCAAAGTGCGATCCATGGATGCACATCAAACAAATACATCAATCAGTGTTCATTAGACATCAATTAATGAATGCGCAAATAAAACAGCATACACACAAAATACTCGAACTGTGCTAATTCTGTATTACCATCAATAATAAAACTAATTACCTGAAATCATTTGTAAATTGCACTCGTTTCATTAGAAAACATCTGTCTGTTTTATGCACATGCATGGCAACCATCCACTGAATTCATAAACATCTATATAAATACATATTTACATTCATATATTGATTTATGCTTCAGGTCCAAGGATATAAACTACATGTCTATTCCTATATTCTTAGTAACTAAAAATATATCTCATAAAAAAAATCATTTTTAATCAATTTTAAATTAGTACCCTACTTGCACAGATCAAAGAACTTAAATTCAATATTTTAGTATATATTCTAAATTACTAATTAATATTAAACAATACTGAACTATTTGAGAAATAAATTTAAAGAAACTCAAAAGTATACATGAAAATCTAAAATTATCAAAACCTGTGTTCGTGCGCGAGTCTACTTTCAAACAACAGACGACCTCAATTAGTAACAATAGACGTTCAAAAAATAACAAAGTAAAATGAAATTAGATAGAGTCGAACTATGAATCAGTGAAATCAATGAGTAATATCGAAAACAAAATAAAGCCGTATTGATTTCAACATATTCAAGGGTAGTTTTCATTTCAAGTTTATAGCACACTAGAAACAATCATTAATTATCAATCATATAAATGTTTATAATATTGTGTAAACAACAACAAATAAGAAGTAAGAGTATTCAAAATTCAGTATAATATATAAATGAATATTATCAACAATCTCATGCATAAACACTTCTGTACGCAAAACAGTCACACAAAAAACAGTACCGTATGCATTTTCTTTCTAGAATATCCGAGTCATTAAAAAAGCATAGAAAAATAATAATCATATGGTAGATATGACAAAGCGTCGAGTGATAATTTAATCACGACGTCTAATGTTTCTAGAAGTACTTACAGCAGCAAAACATGAAATCTAAGAGAAATAAACAAATGTTAAGTTGCTTATAAGATTATACGATCATCAAGTTAGAAATATGTTTATCATAGTTTTTATTTGCGTTTTAAAATTTTATTTGACAGTCGAATTTTACAAGAAATCTTTTTTTTAATTTAAAAGAAAATATAAGAATTTTTCATTCCCTCTATTAAATAAATATTAATATATAACTGGAAAATAATATGTATATTTAATCTAAATACAAGAAAAAATAAATTTGCAAGTCATAAAAATGACAATTGACTGTCTGAAATCTATGAAATGTTTAGTAATTTATTGAATGATGGATACAAATTAATAAACTTTAAATACATAAAGAAACATGCATTTTCAAATTGTCAATTTTGACCATTTTACTATTATTAAGTTTTAGTTATTTAGTTGATTATTATTTTACAGTAACATTCTGATAAATAAAATTTAGTAACTGTATACGTCACGTCAATTATTTTTCATAAACCTCACGTAGATGGATTCTAACAATGGAAAATATAGCATGAGTTCAATGATTAATGCTTCAGACCTATCTCGATCGATCAATTATTACTATTAATGCCTTTTGGCAAAATAACAATGAACCATTAAAACTGTTCGAAACCTTTGTAGCAATCGAGTTAAGGCAATCCAGTCATGGAGCAGCTGTAAATAAATACTGTTATTTAAATTAAACAGTGTTCAAATATATTTAAGTATAATCGAACTTACTTCTTTAAAATAAATTAATAATAGGACGAAGAATAAAAACATAAATAATTGTTGTTTTCAAATGGGCCTACTATATTATATTAAATATAGTAGTGTGTGCTACAAAATAAAACATAAAAAGGGATATACGAGGATTTACAAATGAAAACAGTAGAGGAAGTTATCAAAATAGCAGATGCCAAGACACATGTCACATGTTTTAGCTATAAATCTACTTGACGGCAGATTAATAACAGGACTGAAACGTTTCAAACTGAATCTACCTTTGAGATATCACCTGTGTACACGTTGTACAGAACTAAGTGCAATTTTCATCTGCCATTTTCCTACAATTATCTACAATATGATTATTATGTTAATAAATTATAAATGGTAAATATAACAAAATGTATAAATTCTAATTTACTATAATGAAACGATTAAAAAATAATTAAAGCTTTAAATGATAATGCACAAAACAGTGGATTACTTTAATCTACAGCTGCTGTTTTCATTCAATCAATGGTTGCGTGCATAGTACACGAGTATTGAACAAACAAATGTTATCTCCCTCTTGAATTCAATTATAAAAAGTATCTATTCTCTCGTTTTAAATGTATTTGTCATCAATAAACGTTTTTCCGTTTCTGTATTGACTTATTTATTTAAATCAAATAATTTATACCTAAAATTTAGAGCTGGTGACAAAAATTAAACAGGACAAGTGAGCAAAACCTGTTTGTCGAGTCCGTTCGCTTCAATCAAGAAAATTGTACCCAATTTTGGGTATGTATGTAATAGGTCAAATTTGTGACTAACAAATAAATACTTGAAACCATTGATAGTATACATGATTAATAGATTCTTATTCAAATCTTAATTTATAAACAATAATTATTCCATAATTTATAAATAAAACGATATCATCAGTTCAGTAACTTTGTAATTGTATTAAATATGCAACTACAGCAACATTTTACATTATAGGTTATTAGTTTTGATTAAAATGTTTTAGGTATTTGTTAAATTAAACTCCTAGTTGTGTATACTGCGTGAAGATCTTTGATGTTAATAATTTATATTTTAAGTGTCCGTTCTAGTAATATGGAATTCCAGTTGGCACTGGCGTTGTGTTACAATATTATTCTAGGAAATACATTTCCTCTTATAGCACCGTATTAGAAATATGGCTACATATATTATAGAGATTTATGAAATAAATACCAAGCATACAAAATAATTAACAAAAGCATATGATTATTTGTCATAGTCCACTTAGCATTACAAAGACTTTCTTGAAACTGTCCATTATTGGTATAATTAGTGTTTCGTGTACATACGAAAAAAGTTTATAAACACTTTTATGGGATTCTCAAAAATTGATTTTCTATCTCACATGTAAATTATGTGTTTTTATCAAGTCTTAGCAGAAAAGTCAATAAATACTTATTTTGTGACCAAAAATTTTACTAGGTAGATAAATTGAATGACAGCATAGATATAATTCTGGTATGGTAGGTGTGATACAAACATATAATGTAGGCAGAACTTGTTGCACAAGCTTCCATACAGTTACCACATTATATTTCTACTTTGTCAAAAGGCATATTCTCTAACGAAATTAAAAATGAATGAATAAAATAATGAAGCATGTTATTTATTGGTATAATTTTGAAGAACAATAGTTTTGCAGATAATAGAAGAAACCAAGCAATATTTATTTAACCACAATGTTTAATATTTCGAAGACTTAAAAATAATTCATTTTTGTTTGGAATGTGTGGGACTTGAAACATAAAGTTTCGCTCAAAGGTAAATGAAAATAAGCAGTGTTTCATCATTTTTTTTTTACTATGAATTTTTGTATTTGTGTAATGAATACCTGAATATTACTCAAATTATTTATTATGTGGAGAGTAAAGACCACATGAAGTATAATAGTAAATTGTTGTAAACATTATTCAACAATTAAAGAAATAAGCAATATTTCACAACCATGTTTTACTTCAACTCTAAATTATAATGCTACAACTATTTCTTAATTTTGTTATTTTGAAATCAGCTGAGGTGACTTGAAATTTCATACTGGTATCTCTTTTGTTAATTTAGTTATTATTAATGACCCAAATAGCAAGAAAAATGATATTAATGAAGTAATAAATACTTTTAAGCAACAGCTGTGGACATTTGAAACTTTATACTGGTCCTGTAGCATATATTAGGTTTATTCAAACATTATATAAGCTGCACTTGATTCATTTGACTTTAATTAGATGTTTTGAGGTTAAAATCAATGCGTGGATGGTAGCTTTCGTATGATTGCTAAATGCTGTGGATAGATAGATGTTGGTGCGTCTGTAACAATATTGAATAAGGACATCCATTAAGTTGCATTTAAATCGTTGTGCAACAACGGGGCATTCGCGGAAAATGAAAAAAGAAAGAGGAAACGAATTTCGGTTGGATAACGTGCAGCATGCTTGCGCACACAATTACAGAATATTCTATAGGTATATATACATATATATATATATGCTTGTAAGCATGGTATGAAATGAATGGGTAAAAAAGGAAGAATAAATTGTTTGAGTGTGTAAGGAGAGAAAGAGAGATGGAGAAAGAGTAGGTTGTGAAATGTGTCGTAAGTTTTGGGTCTCGATGAGGTTGGGGTAACCTACTTTCGTTTGGCCGCGAGTGCGGGGGAGCGCACGTAAGGCAACTCGACTTTCCCGGGCGGAAATGACGGAAAATTTTCGCGGACCGTGGAAATCGGGCGGGCCGCGTACCGCGCCGGAACGGCCACGAAACGAACGGATCGGTCAGCAATGGCGGCGGCCATAATGCCACTCACTCTCTCTCTTTCTTTCTCACGCACATCATGTGTTGTCGTACGCACGCGAGAGAAGGACGAGACGACAGAGAGGGACAGGTTTCTGTTTTTAAAACAAAGCAGATGGCAAACGCCAAGAGTTCCCTCTGTCCCGCCGTCCTTCTTCCGTTCGTCCAACAGCCGAAGCACCGTCTCTCTCTGACGCATTGCATATGGCAATGTGTGCGGCGATGTTGTACAACAGTGCGGACGAGAATTTGAAGGGAACGAAACGCGGAGCGAGAGAGAAGGATGTACGGTTACACCAAAAAAAAAAATGTATATACATACATAATAGTTGATAGACTTACCTCTCCATTGGAGATGTTGATGCCAAGGAAAATGTCACCAAATGAACCACTGCCGATTTTACGGAGCAACCGATACTTGCCACCAACAATATAATCCGGTTTCAGGGGATTCAACGTAGCCATAATTATACAATTTTCGAATCGAGTCTTCCGTCTATGCTAGTGCTTTACGCTCCTCTCTGCTCGATTTGGCCCGAATTTTGCTTCCACAACTGCGATGCGCTTTTCCAACGCGCTTTCCCGTTCCCAAGTTATTGTATACTCTCTCGTGGTGCACAAATTAACTATCACTTGTTCTTAACACATGCCGACATTTCTCTCTTCCATCCGCTGACTGATCGTTGTTTGTGACGTCGGGTCTCGGAAACAATGCACTCGCCCTCTGTCGGCAATTTGCGCGTTCCGTTCCGGACACACTCGACGCATCCCCACCACCGACATTACTCCAAAAACACTATTTTCCATTAAAATCATCGATTAAACAAACTAAAATGCTCATAATATCTTTAATATCAGTTTACTATAAAATATAACAGCTTTATATATAAATAACGAAAATCCAAATATTTTCCTTGAAAAAGCGACACCTGTCGCCAATATTTAGAAGCAAATACGTAAACTCTAATCATCTATAAATATGTATTATAATAGCAAAATATTCATGCGAATATTAAATTAGTATAATAATAACATACTATTACTATATACATATTATTGGTGGAATTATAAATAAAATCAATTGGGAATGTGCTCCATCTATCGGATTGTAATACAACGATTGATTTTATTTGAAAATATTTCCAGTAATTAGAAATGAAAATAATAAACACTATATCATCATGGAATTTGTACGCAGCTCAGTTGTAGAAGCTCTTCCAAGATGGGAGCAACAGGAGGGTGAAGACAAAAAATATTTCATTGGGAAATTTACTTTTATTTATCTCAACAATTTTTTTTTTCTTACTGTTATTAATTTTAAACATGGGATACGATTTAACAATTAAGCAAGTATTTTATAATTCAAATTCATAAAAATTATATCCAAACAACGTAATAAATGGTCATGTCTATAACAGGGTTTCCCAACATTATGACAGATTATTATTATCAATTTGTGATTTCCTAACAATCACATTGTTTAATTAAAATCAATAGACTTTAAAAATAAGAAAATATTTCAGCACAAAATAAATCGTCTCAAACTTTTTTCTTCAAGCTCTAAACACGGTATGATAATCTACATATAAACCAGGGATGCTCATAACCGTCGAGAGTTGTAGATCAATTACATATTATATTTTATTTTGAACGTCTAACATTCAATTTATAAAAAGTGCACTAAATTTGTTTATCAATTATTCTAACCTAATATTTACTAATATAGTAACGAACATTAAATGTTAAATTATCATCTATGATCATCTTTGATTAATAAATACTTACCATTTTGTATTTTAACTTTGTATTTCATTTTTATCTAGTCGATCGCTTGCCTCCTAATACTTTTATGGTCGATCGCCGATGGTTTAAGTCTGATATAAACAAACAATATTAACAAAGTTCCACTAGCATTAAATAAACTACATTATATATCATGATTTGCATAACAAATTGATAGAAGAAAAAAATAATTACAAACATCTAAATAATAAACTAGCCACAAACTATTTGAATTCGAGCTTCTTCTGTTACGAAATATTAAAATTTACTAACTTGGTTTAATTATAGACTGCAATCTGTACTTGTATTTTTCTTCCTAGAGGATTTCACCTATTACATCCTATAATACACTTAGCCCATGTTGCTCAACCGAAGAGTTTTTGTGTCCCAATGGAATTTTCAGTTTTCTATATTACGCATTACAGCCAAATTTGGGACTACTTATAGCTGCGAATCGTTTTGTAAGTATAGTCAAAACGATTATACGTGTGGACCATCAAGGGCCGTCCTTTGGATATTGAAGCTCAGTAATATTTTTTATGGCCTACCAAACATTTTGGGTTGGACATCGCTGACTTAGCCCTTAGCCTATGCCGCCAGCCTCGGTCGAGGTTTTTGTATATTTTATTAGATGATAAAATAATGTATATTTGTACTGTATACTTCTGTGTAATGCTGGTTGCGCATACAAACATGCAAATTGTGGATAGTCTTGGGCCAATAATAGGCGTAGTTGTATAAAGTTACATTTGCTTTAAGCAAACAACACTTTCAAATAGTACTGAACGTTCATTATATTCATCTTTTATATGTGGCAGCTGCCTATATATGCACCGTTCAAATAAAACGATAACTTTAGTACGGTAACTAAAGTTTAATTAACTTAATTTTAAATAAAGAGATTTATATCAATTATTATTGATATAAATGTTTTTGGCCCTATACCCCCTTTCGGGTTTATTAGTTTTGAGGATCGAACCAAATTTTGAGGGACTCAGAATTAAATCACTGAGTTCTGTTTCGAATAATGTTCTATTGCAATAACTGTCTGGTTCTCCACAATTTTGTAAGGATGCAATTTCTTTCTTTAAGATTTCCGTAGCGGATTTATCTAATTGTGCAATTGTTAGAAGTTGTGATTTTCTAGATAATTTACCTTCTGATCATCTATTTCATTAATCACTCTTGAAGATGAGAAGATGACTCAGACTTTTACATCAGAATTTTACTGTGGATCAGCAGCTGGTAAATCAGTACAACCAGAAGATATTGTCTTTGATTGTGGGATTTAGGGTATCCACTATCAGAAAACCAATATCGGTAAATTTCTGTCAGCTATACTCTATTACAGTGGAACAACGGTGCAACCACGTCTTTAGAAGTCGTCGCATTACGAATATTTCGGTACTCAGCGAATGTTTGGAACTCGGTACCCCATTCTCAGACAAACAATAAAACATCATTATTTATTATTCAGTGGAACCTCGCTTAACGATCACCTCACATAACGAGCAAAATAAATTGTAAGAAAAATGACTCACTTAACTTTCTGAAAATTTCGCCTTAATACGCTAAATGTTTATAAAAGACCCAAAGCCATTTCATATTTTGAATATTATTTTTATGAAAAAAACAATCATAGTGGTTGACGAGTTTATTTTGAATTTACTAGTCCGCAGCCCCTGGTCCGCAGAATTCAGTATTTTCAATTTTGTGATCCGTGATGTCAAAAAGGTTGTCGACCGCTGATCTAAAGCACAGGACCGGATGCGTTAACACATCTGTACACGCACTGGAATTTATTATGTCGGATGTCACCTGGAATACAATTGTATTCTACATTGATTATTTGCTTCTAGCTATTTAGATAAGAACCAGAATGTTTATTAATGTCTTTATTTACTTTATAAATGTACTGACATATTAAAAAGCCCTTGTCTTTACTCACTCATTACTCACAACAATTTTAGGTTGTTTTGGAATCAATACTATGAACAGACGATGAACTAAGACTACATGAAATCTGGTTCAAGAATGTTTGCCTGGAATAAACAGTATCCTTTTTGGAGGCTTTTGTCTCCCTTAATACCTATGATTAATGTATATTTGTATCATGGGTGCAGATTCTATTCACCAGGAGTTCCCAAAATATGCGCCGCATACTCTCATATATTAACATAAAGTTCTAATATACACTCAGTTAACGTATATTTGCATACACTTACGGGTGTATGTATAATTGCCTATATAAACATTTTACAATTGTGATTTATTCAGGCAATGTTCATAAACAGTGTCAGTACCGTCAGTGGTACACGCAATGTAAAAACTTTTAAACAAGCCTAGTGGGGCATTGTTATAATTTTCTAGGAAATGCCCAGAGAAGAGGAATTATCTTTCAATTTGGTTAGTATATCAAAGGATGAATCTTGCGTACCATCCGATGTTGTCTGACTCTATTGTCTAAAAAATTGTTGGGTTTAAAAATGTAGGAATTTCTGACCACTCAACATTGCAAGTTCGACATACATAGAGTTCACTGGTAAGCTAACTAACATCGAATTTAGTGGCGTCGACTTGGCGGCCGGTTGCTAACCAAAATACAATTTTACACAGCTTCTAAATATTAAAGAATTTATTGATTGATAGTTGAGTGTTATACTTTTCAGAGCTAACATATTCTCTTCAAAATTTTATGAAAAATATTCTAAAAGTCCTCAAGTAGTCACTTAATAACTTTAGAATAGGGATCTGATATAAATAAATCTTGGAATATATAATTCGGTCAATTCTCCTTGTCTGAAAAATATGTTTTACTATTTTAAAGATATTTACAATGTAACATTCGCTTTCAAAGTACCACAGCCAATTTGTTTCACAAATTACTCTTTGCTGTACTTTGTATATGGTATTATTTCTCGTTCATCGGGAAATTACCATATTTGTTTATGATTAAATCCGTATTTGTGTCTATAGGTCATCTAGGAGAGTGCTTCCCAACCTTTTCACGGCACACCTGACAAGTTTTAATAAGCACATCGGTACCATTTCTTTAGATCATTAATTTTATTGCAGCACACTTCTTTTTCATTACTAAGACTGAAGAATTACTTCGAACAGAATTACTATTTTCCTGGGCCTTTATTTGGATTAGGAAATTATGTTACCTGTTATTTCTGGGTGGTAATTAAAGAATACCCCTTTTTTCGAACTCAATATATCTCTGATTGCCTTTAAAATTGTTTAAAATTCCATAAAATATTGTATTATAATAAAGTACTGTCGTATAATAAAGTACACATCGAGTAACAAGATTTGTAAGATTTAATAAATAATAACTTATTTATTTCTGAACTATGTTGCGTAACGAGCGTAATAGACTTTTTTCAAATTACAATCTTCCATAGAGGCAAAAGACGAATTATATCATATTATATTCCAATGGCTAAGGCTAAGTGAGTAAAGTGGTGGAGAAATGAAGAAGAAAATGTTTTATGCCACCAGATATACCAGATATAATAGTAAAGTTCCCTAAATTAATACACTGTGGTACATGTGGTTACATATGATCTTGTCGTTTTTTGATACGTGAAGACCATGAAAGAAATACATCATGCTATTGATGGTTTTTTAAATTTTGTTATTAAAAAAGTATATGTCATTTAAATAATTTATCTAATAAAGTATAGTATTAATTATTTCTGAATAACAATAACTTATCAGCCAATTTAAAAATCCTGTAAATTGGAACAATATTTTTAATCCATATATAAATTTTATATAATAAATAACATGTACAACAATACCTTCGCTTCGATCAGACCAGATTCATTATACTCTTTTAATGCGGTTTATTATTTTATTTAGATCCTCGATAAGTCCGGTTTCAAACAGTTAATAAAGGTTTATAATGAAACGAAATAAATAATTTAACTTAATTGACAGAAAAAAAGAAC